AAGAAAAAAAACCACAACAAATTTTTAAAAGTACTTCTGCCTAAAGAACATTTTTCTTTTCATCATTACTTGATTTATAGAACATGAAATAAAAAGACAGACAAGGTTGATTGTATTATGCAAAGACACCACTCCAGTCTCCTTATTTTGACCTTGCCCAAGGTTATTCCTCCTTACCTGTAGTAAAAAGGCATGGTTTCCGTCTTTTCTTCCTTTTACCACTTATCTACCTATTACAAATAATTCAAATATCAGCTTTACACAGGACTTTAAAACTACTTGTTCTCATACAGTAACCATTTCCTCCATTACAAGATGAGGGCCTTGAGCTGAAGCCAACTGCTGTATGCACCAGGACTGCAGTAGGAATACAACTGCACGACTGAAAAACAGCTGGTAGAATTCCATTCACAATTTCACCTTCAGAAATTTAATGCCCACTACTTACTTTCTGAAGTGGCAAGTCTTGTAAAAACAAGATTTTAACACAACTGTACTTGAGTACCCTACAGATGTTAATACAGGGCATAATAATATCTTTCAATGGTAGCACACAAACACACTAATATGACTTTTCAAGTAAGATTTTTCAAGTAAGAAACTGAAAAGGTATTGTAATAGTAGTGGCCACCAAGATTTTTAAGAGAATATAACAAATATTCCTATCTCCTGCAATTTTAAAAGTGCGATGGTATTTGTGAAGTCTGGAAGATAAATCCGCTTTGAAATACCATTTAATAGCTGACACATTACTGCTTTTCCTGTAAATGAGACTTCCCCATATAATTTTTTCTTCATATGAAAATTTTTCTCCTTCTGTCCATGCTAAAGCTCCAGCTTGCAAAAGCAAAATAGTGTTCTCCTGAAACATAAATGCAATTCAAAATTGTTTCCTAAATAGTAGAAAATATTATATAGGATGGCCAAGAAAAGTGAGCTTGCTGTACAACATCTTAAAGTGAATGCTTCCTGTGAAAATGACTACTTTCACAGAATACCTTTAGTCATTACGATAATCAGCATCCTGAGGCAGTTCAAATCCTACGGTTTGTAGAAATCAGACATTCATACAGCTAATTTTGGAAAAGAAATCTACGCTAAGAGAACTCTTTAAAAAAAAAAAATCAGATTTTTACTGTTTTTTCTATTCTTATGACCAAGGCTTCCCTGAATTAGAATTTTCACACACCTACCACTGTTTACAAAAAAGTTGCTTAAAGGGGCATAAAGAATATACAAGGTGTTCAATAATATCACCTAACTGCTCACCCTCACAGAGTCTTTCATACCCAAAGGTAACTTCTGTCTTGACCAGTGTCTTTCCACAGAGACAAAGAAGAACCATAAACTGCTGCGTGGAAGGACTCAGATGTGCGCGACTCCCTTTGAAACAAGGTGATTTGTTTGAAACCAAACAGTTTTAGTCAGTGAACAGCATTTTACCTGACAGTCTTGCTTCATTTACCACTCTGAGGCTTTACATTTTTCATTTACACTGAGGCTCTCTAAGTACAAGATTACAGAACTAGTGGTCATTAGGCAAACCACGTTATTCTACAGAAATCTTATGGACAGAACAAGGGCATTTATAAAAATGCAAATTTATCATTATTACTGAAGAAGCAATACAGAATACCTGTTGCAGTGAACACCAATATATACAGAATATATTATTAAATTACAACTAAAACTAGTTCAGAGAAATTATGTACTACAGAGGGAAAAGAAGGTTATACTCCATTATTACTTTTCCAAGATTTTCAAAATTTAGTTTGCCCAGTATTTCCACAAATAAGACAAGCAGAAACTACTGTTCCCATCTCTAAAAGATTGGCTTTTTAAAGAACAGGCTCTGTCATTACAGGAATTATTCCAAGTATGAAAAGTGAGAAGACTTTAATGCCTCTTCTGAACAGTCTAAAACACCATGGTCTTACAAAGTGTTAAGACACTTGCGCAGAGCTTGAAGTCATGGCCTAACTGGCATTGCAACTGCACAGAAGAGTCCTGACAGTCCCAGCCTGGCAGGTGTTGATGTTTATAACCTGATTTCTAAGCTCTTGGTACAAAAGAAACTGATCTATGTTTCATTCTCCTGTTGCTTTGGAACTGGAAAATACAGCTTCCAAACAGCACAGAAGTAGACTACCATCTTTTGCCTTCGCTTATGTCATGGAATTACACACAAAGATTATTTGCCCACACTGCAAGCACACAGTAAAGAAAACTGGACCTGATCTTTCAACCCCATTAGGCAACACAAGCAAGCACTCAATTACTTTAAATAAGGACCTACACTGAAAGGAAAAACTTTTTTGCTTGCAATTTTCCAAATGTAGCTTCCCATACTAGACCACAGCACTCATGGACTCCTACAAATGAGAGGAGCATCTCAAGACCTTTTGAATAAGTATTCTAACCCCTGCAGAAAAGAGAAAAAAAAAAAAGAAAAAAGGAAAAGACTTCATGAGAAAAAAATACAATTTCTTTCATATACAAGAATTTACACTATAAAAACTACCTTAGTGGAACAACATGATTAAACTTCTAAGTAGGAGAACAGCTAAAAGGCAAATTTTATCAAAAATATACTTGTAAAGTACATTTCTTAAGACTTAGATCAATGAACAAACACTGGTGCCATAGCTAAAATGACATATTGACACTTACATTCATATAGTCATATGGAAGAGCAATATATTAATGGCACATACAAAATGCATTTTTATACCTGCAGACTCTGTTCCTTGTATCTTAAATATAAATACATTCAAGGCTAAGTAAATCAATTCCAGTGTTTTAAATGCTAAGACCTAAATACAAAATTCAGCATACCTCTATAAAGATATATCTTTATATAATTTAGTATTCATTAAATACTTAGCCTGCTCTATTGAAGCACCATATATCCAACAAGGCTACATCGTTAGTAGGAATTAGACCAAACTTCATTCTACTGTGTTACAAGGTCATTTATTGTGCACTACATTTAGCCCAATAAATTGTAGCTGTGCTGAAATACTTGCTGCAAAAAAGCAATTTGAGGTGGGACTCTTTTCATGAGATCCTCTCCAGCCCCAACTGTACTGTGATTCTACAACACTCATGTGCTGCCATAGTACACATGGCTGCTGTGACATGATCCAGGGCACAAAGAGTGAACTTGTGGCAATGAACAACAAAGCACCTGGCAAAGGTTTCTGGATATATTGAAGATCACATACACGCTCTGTTTACAGAGGATTTAAGAAGACCCGACAAGATAGTTATACTCATAGAATCAAATGCCTGAAAAGAACTTAGGATCATCAAGACCAAATGTCAACCCAGCACTGCCACTGTAATCCCTGAACCTCTAAAACACATCACCGAGCACCAGGTTCAAACGTTTCTAAAACACTTCCATGGATCGTGACTCCACCACCTCGTTGGGCAACTTATTCCAATGCCTGACCACTCAAACAATGAATTTTCTTTTTACTAGTATGTGTAGAAATTTGTATTTCCAATCTCTTAGCTTGAGGCCATTTCCCTGCATCTCACTGCAGGCAGGGTAGAAGAGACCAGCCCCCACCCCACTACGACCTCTGTCAGGTAGTTATAGAGGGAAAAGAATCTTGTGTATTTATACAGACACATCCTAACCCCATTACAGAGCACTAAGTGCAATGGCTCACTCTACTTCCCAACGGAAAAGCAGCAGAGAGGGAAACAACCACTGGGCAGTGGAACCGTATCGGCATTAGACCGCGGAAGGCCGCAGACGCCTCGGTGTTCTGTTCACGAGCGCCAACTGCAACGCTCGATGGTGTCACTCCGCTGCCTCCCTGCCCCCGACGCACTCAAACCCCCGAGCTGTCCCAACAGGACAGTCAGGGACCGGGGCCTGCAACAGCTTAGCCCCAATTCAAGGGAGGCGAGCGGACCCAGCCGCCCCGCTCACCATGGTGCCCGCCTCGGCGCCGCCAGCCGCCGCTGCCGTCCAGCTCGGCCCCACTCCCGGCACATAAATCCGCCCGCTCGCCGCTCCCGGCCAGTGCACCCCGAGGTCACACCGGGATCCCGCCGCGCACAAGGCCCGCCAGAGCTGTCCGACCAGCTGCCTGCGCGGGCGAGGCTCCAGAGCGCTGAGACGGCGCCGCGACGGACAGTCCCGGCCTCACCGCTCCACCCCCGCCGGCCAGAGAGAAGCGGAGAACGTAGAGACGCCTGCCACGGCGCACGGCCCGCGGGCCCCTTGGCGACAGCCCTGTCAGGCGTCGCGGGGCCAGCCTGTTCCGGGCAGGGCACCGCCGCGACCCCAACCACGTGACGCGGGAGGTCGCCCCGAGCGCGGAATTTCTCCAACTCCCGACCCCCCGCGTGAGGCACGGCACCGCTGGAGCACCGGGAGAGGAGCGGGCGGAGCGGAGAGAGGTCTGACACGGGGGCAGCGTGAACGGAGCCCGGCGGAGGAGTGGGGGGAAGCAGGGAGTGCGCATGCGCCGAGGTCACGTCGCCCTCTCCCGTGCCGGCGCTGCGCATGCGCAATGGTGCGGCGTGAGGGCGGAAGGGTGGGTGGGCCTGTACGCGGTCGTGGCTGCGGTTAGCGGTACCCAAGGGAGGCTCTCCGAGGAACGAGGCAGAGTCGCTTGGCCCGAGGGAAATAGGTGTTCTCCTTGCAGAATACTCAGTGCTGCGCACTACCTGGATCTGTCCGAAAGGGATACACCTGGATAGTCCGTCCCAAAACAGCCATGGGGAACAGTCGCGTTGCTCAACAGTTTTGTCGAAAATCGTGCGGTTTTAAATGCGTCGCTGTGGTCCCTTATGCATGAGTTAGAAACAAATAGGAGCATTCTACTTAAATAGATAAATAGTATTTCTGTAGAAAATACTTAACGTCTGTTCGTATTTTGTCAAGCTTTATCTGCCTCCTGAGGAACCTAGGAGGGTAATTCATAGAATCACAGGATGGTTTGAGCTGGAAGGATCTGTATGGATAATCTCATTCCAAGCCTGTACCATGTCAGGGACACCTTTCATCAGAGCAGGTTGCTTAGAGTCCTGTCCAGCCTAGCCTTCCAGGGTTGGAGTGTCCATCCAGTTTCCCTCACCACCCTCACAGTAAGGAACTTCTTAACATCTAATCTAAATCCCTCCACTTTCAGTTTAAAACTTCTTGTCCTGGTCCTGTCACTAACTGCCTGTGTAAAAATTCATTATTGCTCTTAAAACGCCATCTTTAGGTAAAAGGGCTCTAAGGTCTCCCAGGAGCTTTTTCTTCTCTAGACTGATGGTTGCCAACTTTCTCAGCGTGTCTCTTTTGCACAGGTGCTCCAGTCCTGTGATGACCTTTGCAGACCTCATCTGGACTCACTCCAGGAGGTTCCTGCCTTTCTTGTGCTGAGGACCCCAGAGCTGGACATAAAACCCCAGGTGGAGGTCTCAGGAGGTCAGAACAGACCTCCTCATCCTTCAATCCTCCTCCTCCTTCCATCTGCTGACCAGGCTGGTTAGTATGCAGCTTGGGACATGGTTGTCTTTCTATGCTCCACATGCAACTGGTAGGCTCATGTCCAGCTTTTTGTCCACCAGAACCTTGAAAGAAGGATCTCTGCAGGGCTGCTCACAGTGAATCTAAATCTTGCTCCACACACAAATCCCTAGGAAAAGCTAATGTAGTGAAGTCTCAACAACTATCAGGAAGTTACAAACTCTCTAATTCTGACATTTTTAATTCTTCCTTTGAATTATGTTGCGGCTAAAAAAAACACCAAAAAACACTCAAAATCACATTTCTAAAACAGTAGAACAAATAGATTGCAAAGAAAATAGTCTCTGATACTAGAGATTATACTGCCAAAGGCAAGATGATTCTGACCTATTCAAACCATTTAATTTTAGTCAACAAGTAGGTCTTTGGCCTCCCAATTTATTAATGCTTATTTGGTCACATTAATGGCAAATGTTGCATGTCAAGAAAATAACAAATTCTAAAGGCATTTGTTCTACTCCATGTGTTTCTTGCATGCAGAATACTAAAGAAAATCAATAAGCTCTTTAAAAGGCAAAGTTACAACAAAAAGCTATCAATCTTATTGCAGAGATGGTAAGAGATGAGATGCATTTGGAGACCAACTGATTTGAGGCATGTTTACTTGTGGAGGTAAGAGTCTCGAAAGTGTTTTAAAGAAAATTCTTAATCTGGAACTCTTTGGCATAAGATATCATCTCTGATACAAATTGGTGGCATTTTACGAAAAATAATCAAAATTAGAAGTGAGCAGAACTGTTTAATTAACTGAAACAAGAATTAGTCAGCTTGAACTCTAGCAATCACAATTTCAGAGCTCTAGTATTTTAATTCTAGTGTTGTTTGAATTTGTATTTCACACAAAGACAAGGCCAAAGTTGTTCTAATCACTATGGAAAAATGCATTTTTGGATGGATGTATATGAGCTGAGTGGACCTTTGCAGCAGTGAGGTAAAGAAAACTTCCCCATGCGATACTGCCAAACACCACTACTGGTACAAACATGACCTGACCTGTGAAGTTACTCTCTTGAGCCCTCTTATCTCAAAGAGTGAGTAAGTTTTAAGAAAAGCATTAAAGGAGACAGGTTTTTACTGCCTGTGCCAGCTGAATACAAGGCAGTCTTAAGTTGGATGTATATGCCCCATTATTCAGAATATATGAAAGTACATATTTTTAATACATTGGTTCGCACAGCTAAGCTATGCACACAATATTAATGTATGCATGCACCTCTATATGCATAGAAAACTTAATGCTCTCTAAATGTGCTGTTTCAAATGGAACACAACATAAAACAGACAAATCAAATATATCACTGCTAAAACTAGGCACTCCTCATTTTATCTACTGTGTGACATTTAAGTCATTACTGTTCTGTTCAATTAACTTGAAATATGCTTTCTGATAGCACTTTTTGTTCCCCTAAAAATCATATTACTGAGCAAGTGCCTTCTTGCTGAGCAGTTCATCAGTGCTAAAAGGTGCGTTGTGATTTGATTTAACCACTATTAAAAGTGGATAAAACTACTTGTTAAAAGAATTTAAAAATACATGTCTCTGATGGTAGTATTTCCTTTTAAAAAGCACAGAGAGGTTTTGATGCATTTTTCTCTGTATTGTATCTTGAGGCTTCATGGACATTGTTTTAATATACAGTAAAGTATCTGAAAAACAAAGTCATAACAGCATAATCAGAACATAACTCTATCAGCAATGGGCTGGTACATACTGCAGTGTCCCAAGTGGCATTTGTGTGTAAAAAATCTTGTCCTGAGTCAACGGGCTACAAATCAGCAAAGCATTCGAGATGTGTAATGCAAAAAAAAAGGGGAAGTTCTTTGGTATGTTGGTATTAGAGCCAGCAGTAGATGATGATGAGTGGACTGCAATCTGCAGTGCAGCTGGGGAAAAGATCTTGTGCTTGTGTGCAGGAGCTGGACCACTGAAGGTCCTGCAGGTCAGAACAAGAATTTTAAAATTAATATTCTGCTTCTCAGAGAAGCAGAGTAGTGGGCAGAGTAACTATGGTAAGGTGGAGCCTTGGAAGCAAGCTAGCAATCTGTCAGGAACATTCTTTAAGGTGCTACAAGCCTTTACTCTGTCTCAGTTCCTTGGGCATTAGGAAGTATATCCCAAGCACTTGTAAGTATTACAAACATGTCAAACAAACAAACAAACAAACAAAATACTGACTAGAAGAATATTCTCCTTCTACAGATCAGAACATAAAGGCAGCATTTGTAAGACTCAGGACTAGGAATTCTCCAGCCCCTCTTGATGCTCTGGTCACATCCCTCTCATTCTTCACAAGAATGATGATTTGTGCAGCTCTAAACCATAGCAGAGGCCCCAGATAGACCGACCATGAGTGGGTAGTGATCAGGTAATTACTTATGCTAGTCCCATGCTGTCAAAGGGGAGATGAGGGTCAGCATGCAAGTTCTGCGCCCCCTCCCAGTCCCTCTGACCTCAAGGTCAGTGATGAATTTTTTACTTTCCTATGCTTTCAGGGAAGGGAACAGGTGAGGCTTAGTCAGCTTTGTACAGAGGGCTGCATGCACAGAAAACCAAGCAGCCCCTCATTTTTATCTGTTGTTTCTGTCTACCTTTCAATGCATAAACAAATCATATGTGCAATCCTTTCTTCAGAAGAATCCCCAAAAGACTAGCATTGGAAAATCTGTAACACAGTCAGCCCTGAAGAAGTTAGCTGTTGTTATAGTGCAAAGCACTACTACTGTCTAATAAATGAGAGTTAATAAAATGAAGTGGTAAACCAACATGTGAGTTATGAAGATCATCCTTCTCTAATAGGTGTTATCTAGTGTCCCATAGATGCTCAATATGTGTTGTTTGTATCGAATAATAAAGTCTTGTGTTGTGTCAGTAGCATTAACTGGAAATGGTGCTCTGTGATCATAGAATAAAAGCTATCAAGGAGTTTTGTTGCCTGTACTTAGTTCTCTCTCCTTTTTTTCCTTACTCTTCTCTGTGCTTCCTGTCAGAATGGTATTTATAGGAGCAATTCTTCATTTAGTTTAAAAAAAAAGCTTAAAAACATCTTGATACAGATGAAGACATAGGGATGTTAGTGTAATAGGCCAAGTTAATCCCCATTGTAAATCCATTTTTTCAACGCAGGGTAAATCTGTGTCAAAAATGTCCAAAAAAAATTTAGTCAAGATGTAAAGCTCAAATTAAAAAGTGCAACAGAACAATGCATCTGTTGAGTGTTTCAAGTGTGTCTTTGTATGCTTTATTGTGATTCCAACATAGCTCTGTGGTAAAAATGTTAAGAACTCTTCTATTCTTCTGTAATTTGAAGTGTCACATTCTTCTGTAATATGAAGGCAGAGTTACCATTAGATCTCTGGTATGCAAAGGAGAGATCAATTAATTTTATAAACTGGCTTTGGACAAATGATGCTGAAACAATCAGTGTTTTGGTGTTAACAGGAGTTACACAGTTTTGAATGACAGGATTCTTAAATTTTGGGACATATTGAAAACAGCTGAATGTTTTCAATTGTGCCCTACTGTTTCTCTGAGATTAAAGGGAATAATAAATTAAAAATTGAAAGATATTTATCTTTAAAAAAATTACTCTGTCAAACTCTGCTATACTGCTCTAAAGTGATTCTCTAAAAGCCAAAATACTGTGGGGAACAGGAAGGCTAAAACATACTTAAAGTAAACATGTTTTTATGTCCTTTAACATTTTGGTCTATTTGCTAAGGAATTCTGGTAGTTTTAATCATTCTATATTTGCATGTGAGTTTGCATGTGATAATATCATAGTTATTTCACCTGGTTACTTTAGGCCTTGTTGTCCAGTTCCTACCTAAATGCCCCGAAACATACTAGCTTCTTACAAGTCTGATGAAATTGTGAACCCTGGGTATTGTCAAGGAGTGTGTTAGTTTTGCATTACTTGATTTTTTGGTAAGGAGGGAAGAAGCAGGAGGCAGGAGATGCTCTGGTCATCGGAGCTGAGATTCTTCTACAAGCCATGATGAGGACTAATACAACAAATTGTTTCCCTGTAATTCATGAAGTGCATGCATGGATGCAGAGACCCACTCGCTGCCTTTGGGAAAAGGTGTTCACACTGGAGCGCATGGATCTGGAGCGCATGGATGCTGAAAAGCTGTATTCTAGTAGGAAACTCAGAGAGAAGATAGAGAAGGAGAACCCTTGCTTCCAAACTCATCCTTAAAAACTTACAACAAATCATCCTTAAGAAACTACACCCCATGAACTAAAATGACCCACGCCATGTACTTAAAGAAGACTATTTTGCCCATGGGAGACACTCACATTACAGCCAGTTGGAGAGGACTGCTACTCCTAAATATTAGAACCATGTTGGAGAAGTCCATGGAAAGGACCCTATGAGGAGACTCTTCTCCTTAGGTGAACTGAAGAAAGATTCTAGAAGTGACAAACTGACTAAACCCCCATGTTTTGTCTCCCTCCACTATCAGTGGGAAGGAAAGTAGGGCTGGGGAGGTGGGGGGGAGGCATTCTAATGGTTTATTTTAGCTCTCATTATCCTTTTATTATTTTAATACATTTTTCTTTATACCTATTAGTTTTGAGTCGATTTTGTCCTTAAAGTGTTTTCTCCTAATCCTTATCTCACCCCATGAGCCTTTTGGTTTTTCTTTCCCCCTCCTCTGCTCAACTAGAGGAGGATGAGTGAATGTTTTTTTGTTGGTCCCTAGCTTCTAGCCAGTGTCAAACCCCAACAAGGGGAGACCCTTATTACTGCTACAAGCAGAGAGAGTGCTACAGTGTGAACTCTCCCTTATTAAAATTTATGTCTAAATGCAGACAAAGCATCAGCTGGCCCACGTATCTTATTCAGACAGGAGCAAATCCAAGCACAAGAAACAGATACAAAGCAGATGAGGGCTCGTTAGCTCCACTGCTAATATGACATTTATACTCAATTGAGTTTGAGCCTCTTGTTCAGTAGCACCCTGGACAAGAAAGTTGACTGTTTCAAAGTATTTCTGACAACTTATGCACTCTCTTTAATGCAATAATCTCAATATTAATAATAATCTTCACAATTGTTATACAGGTGGAACCTGGCCGTGCAGATATTCAGAAGTACAGAGAAAGACAGCATAAATAAATATATATATATATACACATGTGTGTGTGTGTGTGTGTGTGTGTGTGCACTTGTCTATAAATATACATACATTTGAAAGGTCTTTAGATATATGTATATATGTGTGTACACATATCTAATGTGTGTTTGTGTATGAATATGCGAGTCTATATTCTATGAATATCAGTGCTTAAAAAAACTTGGTAAAATGGTATTGTGTCATTCTCAATTAACACTCTCAGAATAGTCCTCAATCGAGGACTTCATAGTTAGACTCCAGTGAACACTGGTGAATTTAATATTTTAAAACTCAGCAACAAGGAGACCAAAAAATACATTTATCAAAATATATTTATCTACCTATGGAGCAAATATTGGACTTCAGGCAGAGGGACAATATCATGCAAGTCCTTCCCTTCCCTTCCCTTCCCTTCCCTTCCCTTCCCTTCCCTTCCCTTCCCTTCCCTTCCCTTCCCTGAACCTTCCCTGAACCTTCCCTGAACCTTCCCTGAACCTTCCCTGAACCTTCCCTGAACCTTCCCTTCCCTGAACCTTCCCTTCCCTGAACCTTCCCAGAACTTTCCCTTCCCGGAACTTTCTCTTCTCTGAACTTTCCTGGAACCTTCCCAGAACCTTCCCGGAACCTTCCCTTCCTGGAACTGTCCCTTTCCTTCCCTTTCCTTTTTCCTTTCATTTTTCCTTTCTTTTCTGAACCTTTCATTTCCTTTCTGAACCTTTCCTTTCCTTTCCAAACCTTTCCTTTCTGAACCCTTCCCCTTACCTTTCCTCTTTCCTTTTTCTGTTTTTTCTGAGTGGATGCCTGAACAGGGGTTATTATTCTGAACCACTACAGTCATTAATTATCTGTGTTCTCTGATTTGTTAATAATAATTAGCACTTCAACGTGCTTTGTATTCAACAAAAAGCCGATGAAACAAAACACAGGCTTAATTAGTGTTGTGATTCTATTTTACATTTTAGGCCTTTTCCTTTTTTTCCTTTTTTTTTTTTTCCTTTGGAAGGGAAAAGTTTTCTAATTTTCAGAAAGTTTTCAAACTAATTTAAACTGACTACGTTCAGACTACTACTAAAAGTTAGTCACTAACTTGCCAATACCAGCTTAATCAATTACATCTGGAGCAGCTAATGCGGAACTGAACAGTATGCATGTTAATGACTGTTGCTGACGGCATTTATTTCATTGACAAATTGCTTTACACTCTTATTTTCAGGTTTCTGATGGCCAAGTTGTGAATATTCAAATTGTAACTTTCCTTCTAAAAAAATCTAACCAGGTAGGAACATCATAATACTCATTTATGAAATCTAAATTACAATAAGCAGATTTTTTGGGGGGGTTTGACATTTTATTTTTGAGCCTACATCTTTAAACTACACATTATTTTAAGTACAAAGATAAGAATTGCATTAAATATTTATTTTGTTGCAATATAAGCAACATTAACAAGTATCAAATCTCTTAAACTTTCCACAGTGACAATGTGAACATTTAAAACAGTAATCAGTTTTTTTTCAGTAAATATTAGCCAGAACAAAGTTAATTTAGGGGAGGGTTCATCCAGGAGATTTCCAGGAGCACTTGTTTTAGTGTTCCTGAATGGCATACCTGCACATTACTTTGCAGGCAAATTGATCTTGTTTACAATAGTAATATTTTGTCTACATATTTGCTTTGTGCAAATACATTTCCACAAAGGGCCACAGAATGCAAGAATTATTAGATGTAATTTCCAATTTCCTTGTAACCACTAGACAGTGACTGCCTGAAGTGGCAAAGGGGAATACTTTTGCTGCATATGGACCAATTAATTTTTTTTTTTTTTTTTGCACATCAAGTACTATCTTTGTGGTCAAACAAGGTAAAAGCAAATACAACAACAAAATAAAAGAAAGGCTCTGTGGAAAAGAACCACAGAGTAAAAGTGCAATATGACACAAGATGGCTGCCTTTTCATTTTTTGTCCATGATTATAGAGCACTTTCTATAAGAAACTTAATGGAAAATGTCCATTAACAAATAACCTAGAGGAACTGCAGCTACATCCCCCTAACACTATTGCAAAGAGTAACAAAATATATTAAACATATTAAGCTTATATACACACACAGTGGAACATCACACAGGTTTGTCTGGAGGAACATCTGCACTTGAGTCATCACACTGATATCAACAAGTTTGGGTGCATGAGGAGGACAGAAAGACACAGATGAATATGAATAATATAAAAGAAATCTCTTCACAGATGAATAACATAGAAGAAATCCCTTAAATATAATAGGCAAAATTAGCATAGATTTATCCAACAGTGACACCATTTTAGCAGATGATTAATATTTATATATATATGTACGACTAATACATATATAGTGTGTTAAAAAGATCTTTAGGGAGGGTTCTCAAATTTGCATAGAAAATACAACTTTGTATGAGTGTATTAACTCCTCTGCTCTTGGTTGAAAAGTTATGGAAACAATATGAAGGTAATGTTCAACATTGGATCATGAACTTGCTAAAAAAGACCACACAGTCTTACAAAACATTAGATCAAGTCCAGCAACAATTTTGTGGACAAAAGTAAGGTTTCTTAAAAACTGTAAATAGTTTGGTTTTTAGTCTATTCAGCAAAAATTGGTAGGTTACAAGGTTACTCAGTGGGCTGAGACTGCAGATGAAGAACAAAGCGAATGGTTCAGTTTCAATAGGAAATATAATAAAAACCCCTTTATCTAAAAGCCATCAGGGACAAGCACTAAATACAAGTTAACAAGCAGGAACTGATAAGATAACATATGTGAGGTCAGAAGTCAAATGCCAGTCAAAAGCTTTTAGCCTCTTGGGTTATAAACAAGAATAGATAAAACACAGATAGATACTTATTGGATTTTAAAGGAATCTGATAATCGTGAGAATATCAGATAATCGTGAATAACTCAATGATTTATGTAATTGGGACTTACAGAATAGGAACTTCATCATTAATATAAAATGCAAAGCTTCTGGTCTGTAATTCTCCTGGGTTTTCGTCTTTTTCTTCTTTTAATTCACTTTTCTCTCTCTTGTTAATCCATACAATCCAAAGCAGACAGGCAATCAAAACAATAATAATTGTCTTAAAACAGGTGCATATTTTGTCAATAAGATAATTGATCTGTGCAATCCAAGGTTTGTCTGAGCATTCAATAGGCTAAATATTTACAGTCAGCATATATAAAAGAACAATAGTCACCCTCCCCATTGGGGTGTTAATACCAATGGAGTTCTGTTTTGTTGATTTTCTTTGAGTCCACTAAAATAAAAAGCAATCTCATTTCACATTAAAGGGATGTCTCTTTAAAGAGATGACAACAAGAAAAAAAATCAACCAGCATCTGATATTAAAAGAAATCTAGTTTTATATGCATAAATGTTTCATGTGGATTCACAAAAACTTTAATTACACTTCTAATATATCCAGGGAATAGTAACTTCTCCTCTATGTACTACTTCATGTAGTTTAAATCTTCAAATTCTGTTTATTGCCTGTATTTTTGTCCAAAAGTAATTCTGAAGGTATCGCTAAAAAAAAACCAAATAAAATGTAATATTCACCATCCAAGAAAGAAACAAGGATTGACGGAAGGCCTTTCTAGGCCTACTTACTGTTTCTTTAAACAGAGTTCACAATTCACTAGGCAAACACTGTGGATTTAAAATGCTTAAAAATATTTATCAGAAGAATTTTATCACCAGATTTAAATGATACCTGGAGCACATTCACCTTTATTGACAATCTCTGTTCCAAATGTCCATTTGTTCCACAAGAGATCACAAAGCAAAACAACAAGGACTAACTGTTTTGATTCAGTCAATGTTTAGTAAAAAAACCCAAGCAACCCTAATCAGCATATTGATTGCATTGTCAACCAACAAATCTGAGCATTGCATGCCATTAAAAGCTCATAAAATTTTCTGTTCTACAATGGGAGCTTTAGCTTTTGAGCTGCATACTTTTTGCTCCAAATTATTGCTTAATCCATACTTTTTTCACTTCCTGACTGTCCCCCTTGTCCCCCCCCCCCCCCCCCCCCCCCCATCATAGGCAGAAATTTCAATACCTAGATACATGAAAGCAAGGTAAATAGAGCTCAGATTTTTATTTCTTTTCTGAATTCAAGCTGTTTGGGTGTCACGAGTGATCAAGAGTGAAACTACTTTGCTAGATTCTCACTCTGAGCAGTTTAACTTCAGTGAAGCATCTCTCTTCCAAGGACAGGAATGGTAGGTGATTAAGGTATGGGAATGCTTGAACAATTTGGTAGGGAGAGAAACACTTAAGACAGCAACATTTTGTCCTTTAAATTGGAAGTGATTGCTTAATGAGAGAGAAAAGCAAAAACTTGTCAAAAACGTCCAAACCCTTTCTATTGTATTAATGTAAACACTGAACAAAATAAAGAAACCCACC